CTTTTGCCGGGAACTTTTCTGCAGAATTGAGGCAGTGAGGAAAGCAGAAGTACAGATGTAAAAAGGCAAAGAGAATATATAACAATGACAAGTTCGCCAAGCAGTCTTGCATGCTTACTGTCTGTCTCTTCCTCACTGGAATGTGAACTCTTAAAAGTGGAACCTTATCTGCCTTGTGAGACCACCATACCTTGGGAGCTGGCAGAAAGCCATGCCCTGTGTACTTCTGATAAGCACTTGCTGAATGAATAAAGCAGTATGTGATGCAAATAGGTAAAAAAGGTTCTTCTCTTTGCCATCTTTTATTCACTTCCTACATGCCAGCTGTAACATCCAGTGATACTAACTTACCTTTATTTGTGTGTTCCCCAGCAACAACAAAGCAAAGTGGTTCCTTGGGACCCCTCAATTTGTGAGGCAGGAAAAGGAGAGAAAAGAAGGGTCAAGAATAGGATCAGGTTTGTTCCCCACAAGCAAGACAACTGAGCAAGAAAATAAATTCCATTTCCTCTCTAGACCTGAAAATCTGGAATCTGAGGCACCAGCAATAGGCAATAAGGGTACTCACAGAATGCATAGTCTTACATAATCTAATCTTTGCACTATCACCAAGAGCTTCAGACAGCTTTTTCTTTTGGCACCCTAAGTGAATAACTTTTTCGTTAGCCAAGACCTATTCATTAATTTTCCAAATAAAAATATGTGGTAGATGTTTTAAGTAAGACTCACACGCAGAATACTAAAAAGTTTAACTACAAGATGTTCTTCTATGGTGTCATTTTCTTAAAATAGAACCCTCCTAAAATCTCCTAAAAATAAGTCTGCTATAGTTTCATTTCATTTTCTGAGAATGAAATAAACACACGAAAACACACACTTAGCTTCTTTTTCAAAGAGTCTCTCTGCTACATGGGTTCACAGATGGAAGACTAAAAGGGCCAATTTCTTCACTTCATAGGTCAATGACACAGCTTTCAAAAAGAGGAAAAACAGTCCCCCTAGTGTACTGCTGCTGTAGAAAGAGGAAATATGTTAGTTGAGAATCACTGACGAAGACAGTACTGACAAAGGAAATTACAAAACAGCATTTTGGCAACACAGGGAAGCAGAAGACAGATTCTTCACACACAACCATAACTGGACCCTTGGTGAGTGACTCCAAAAGGTGACAGAGGTCAAAATTATGTGCCAATGTAGAATTAATATGACACAATTATTCTGAAACTTAAAAATAAATTTAAAACAAAGTTATGGTTCAAATAACATTTCTTAATTCAGCATGGTAAAGAAATCTAAAGAACAAAAATAGTATGGACATAATTAAGCAGTACATGACAGGTAAACCCTCGTCTTTTCACCTTGGCAAGAAGCCATAAAAGTAGACATTCTCACATGAAAGAAGGCTCCTGCTCCAATAATTAGCCTCTTCTGCAGCAGCAGCCACAGCCACCACCTTCACACAGCATCCTACAGGAACTCATGGCTGCCTGACCCAAGGGACATGTAAGTGTGTAGGTTTCGATAGAGGGGTAAGCCCTGTAGTCCTGAGAGGTCTCCCCAAAACAAGAGGAAATGAGAGAAATAGCTAGTTCAACTACGGGTGCACTGCAAGCAAACTTAATCTGAATTAAAGGAAATGTAACCTCTCCCCGGCATTACCACATCTGATTATTCATTTCTACTTTAATGCCCAAGGTAAGGGAACCCATGAGATAGCCAACACCCTTCTCACGGGTACAGCATGCATCTGACAAATGTACACTGACCAAAGTCTTCCTCTTTTTGTTAAAATGCTATCTCTCCTGCCGCTTTTTTCACTTTGTAGTTCCTAAGCACCCACACTAAAAGGCATGAACCTGGTACTCCATTCACATGTGCCTGTCCTTCTGATGCTGGAATAATAAGCAAGGCATAAACTCAGATGTAATATGTTGCTCCAGAAAGCAATCTCTACTAATCTAAGACTCCCCATTATTTAGCAGTTTTTTTAAAGTTCAACTTAAAGAAAATAGTGTGATAAAGAACAAAGACCTCTACTAATTACCTTTATGCTAACTAGCTGTGTAATCTTAGAAAAATCATTCACTTCTTGAAGAATAGGTTCTTCTCCAATAAAATAAGGGGGTTAAACTAGATAACCAAACTTCATTCTGATTATACTTTAGGATCACCTGAGAAACCTGGACCAAAACCAAACAACCACTGCTAAGCCACATACTGGACCAATAAAATTAGATTCTCTGGGTATTAGTATTATTCAAAAGCCCCCAGAAGATTCTGAGGTGCAACCAAGTGCTAAGAATCACTGGTCTAAACTCCAGTCTCCAAGGCCCCTTTTCTAATTCCTTCATTCTGACAACTCAGGGTGATAATTCTGGCTACAGTATCTTGTACTGCATTTGCCCAAAAAGCCAAAAAAGAAGTAAGGCCTTGTCCCTGCATATATCCCAGTATGTATACATGACTAGAAGAGATTAACCTGAATTCCAGACATTTTTAGAAGTTAAATGCATAACTCACAATGAAAGTACTGTGGTTTAAATGTATGTGCATGCTTCCAATACGACTAATCATGACAAGGATCAACTTCTAAACTTGGATGCATGAAAATGGGTCACAATTAGCTCCTGACCTCTCCCTTTTCCTCTTCTCCCACCCCTACTAGACCACAAGCACAAGGAAGACCTATTAGTCATAATCAGAATGTGAAACCAGCCCCAGTTTCAAAAGGCCCACTTCATCATCAAAGATTTGGAAGTTCCTGCATGGCTCCATCTTTTGATGAAGGTCATCTTACAAAAACTGGAACTAAATTATATGCCTTTTGTCTTCAAGGATTAGTTGCCACGTGACATCCCAAAAATGGAACTGATAAAAATATTTCAAAGAATAATCCTAAGGTTTTTAGCTGAAGAGAAATGAGATAGCAGGGACAAAAACTACAAGAGAAAGAGAAAAAAGGATATAACATAAAGCCACTTATGACTAGGCTCAGTATCTCTTGCTGCAAATTCAGCAAGCTGTAGTAAATATAGCCCAAGCTCACTCATTTCACGGCTACTTCTAGTAACACCACTTTCTCAAGCTGGTGTTTTAAAAAAATCAAATTTATTAAACTTATTTTCTTTAATTACAAACACAACAGCAACAAATGTTACTGGTGGAATTCCATTACTTTTGTAATTACTTTAAAATATTAGAAAAATGGAAACTCTACATTAACCTTTTAAATTAAAAATTAGTTTTTAACTAACAGATTCCCTACACCATATTCACACATGCAGGACTTAATTTCAAGTGTAAGAAATTTGAAAATCATTCCAAACCACTGAATCTATCTGCTCAGATTCTGTACAAGGAGATTAACTGTTGCCAGCCACTTGGAAACCCAGTTTTTTAAGTTATCACATTAGCAACTCTTTGACAGGAAACGCTTATCCTTTCTGTAAACAGCCCTCGGATCACACAACTGGCATTCCTTTGTAAAGCAGTAAAATTAGACCAACTATAAGATTCATAAGGTCAGCATGTGTCTCATTTAAAAAGGAGGTAGATCTGTGGCATTAACATTAAAGCACATCATTTGCTTTTAAAGTATCTAAACAAGACCTCTCCAATACCAGCTGTGGAAAAAACAAAACAAAAAACTCAGGCACTTCGTTTGCAAGGGTTTCCTAAAAGCAAGTTAAATTGTTTCTTACTCTAAATTCTTTAGTTTTTTCCATATAAACGCTCTTCTCCAGTGCCTCAATTATATTCTCCAACAAGATTACAGCATTCTTATATTATACAACTAGGCAGCCTGGAACCTGGGAAGACACAGGGCTTCCTGATGAAGATTAAGGAAGGAAAAAGGAGGAGAAAGCAACTACAGCTTTCATTAAAAAAAAAAAAAAAAAAAAAAAAAAAATTCAGAGCAAGTGATAAAGAGACTTCCAATCATGCAGGACTCCCAGGACTCCCATCTGCCAGATTCTGGCACACACATATCTTGGGGGCAGGGGCCAGGAAGATACCCAGGAAGAGGTAGTTGACTATCAGCTGCCCAGCAGGGGCAAAGAGTTAATCTCTTTGGATGCCCAACTGCAGGAAGTTATTACATCATAGGCCTTTCCACACCTCTCTCCCTACCACGTGTCCGGTGTCCCAAGAGGCTGAAAAGGAACAGCAGTGTCTCTCCTTAGGTTCTTCTATAGGTAGAAGCCATATGGCCCAGCCCTGCCATCAAACCTCCCGCTCCACTTAAGAGTTTCACTTGAGCCAGGCCCAGGCCCCCACACCTGACACCCACCAACCAACAGTGCCAGAGTCCAAGTCTGGGAGCAAGCAGCAGGTGCCGCCAGTCTACATTTAGGAGGCAAGACTGGCCCCAAAACATTTCAGAGGCTTCCCCGAGCAGACTGAACGAATATTTCTGAGGAGGAAAAGCGTCAGCACCAAGCAGAAAAGGTTTGCAATCATTACTTTCTCTACTGGGTTAGGTGGGCCTGGGGAGTTACCCACATCCGGAAGCTAGGATCCAAGGGTTGTCATTCATCCAGCACCAGGTTCCTGCGATCCACTGGAAGCCACACATCCAACCCCTCCTCTAGCACGGAACGCCAAACGCCCCCCAAGCAATCCCTTCACTCCACCCCACTACTCGGACGTCTATTCCAAAGTTGGACACGGACCTACCACCTCGACGCTGTCCCACTAATCCAGCAAACGCACTCCTATCCATTAGTCCTTCCCTCCTCAGTGTCCCTTGGCCCCTACAATCTGGTCCGGGCCCGAAGCTTCCCCAGTGCCTCCTTACCCACCCCAAGCCTGTCCCCAAGTTATCCTCCTCCAAGGGTCAGAGAACGCCCCCTCCCGATAACAAAGCCTCACAGGGGCTCCTCCCAGCCATCCCTCTCCCAGGCGACCGCCTGCGCGCTGGGTCTGGCCCACTCTCCGTGCGTCTCGAGCTGCGCAGGAGGCCTGGCAGGTCAGGCCGCAAGCCCAGGATGGGTACGCACCTTCCAGCCCGCAGAGCTGTTGCTGTCGCCCTTATCTTTGAAGTAGGGCACACACCGCACCATCCACTCGTAGATCTGGGACAGAGTGAGCCGTTTGTCCGGAGAGCTCTCGATGGCGCGAGTGATCAGGTCGGCATAGGACAGGTTACCCCAGGCGTTCCGTCTCGAAGAGCATTTCCTCGGCTGCCCGGAGCTCCCAGCTGCCCCCGGCTGCGTCAGTGGCAGTGGCTGCTGAGGCTGCAGCGGCGTCTGTGTTCCCCCACTTAGCGCGCCCACCGCTGGAGCTGGCCCAGACCCGAGGTCCTGCCCTCCGGGAGCCAGCAGCCGGGCCGAGTCCTCAA